AAACGTCGTCTGCAAGAGGACGTCGGGATTGCCGGCACTGGGTAAGTATAGAGGCCTTCATGTGCGTAAATTGTTAGCATAAGGTTGTGGGGTACATTAGGCCTTAGTACTATTCCGACTTAGGGCTTCGGGTTTGAAGCTTTTGACTTTGAGTTTGAAGTTTGGGTTCAGTGCTCATGCTTTCTACATTTCAGACTGTTTCTTGCTTTGGTGACAGAGGGTCTAAGTTCACTGACGCGTTCACTTCTCGTACCTTGCACTCTCGTCTCTTTTCGACTAGCATTCACATGAGCCTCTGCCCTTTGTGTGTGCTTGTGCGTGTCACCTACTCAAACATTCCAAGGCCTGTTCATGTTCAATAAAGGCCGCCACACTGTCACGGGATTTGTCAGGTTTGGGTTTCCCTGTGTCAGGTTCCAAGTACCCCAAACACTCAATCCCAGATCTCTATCTCAAAAGCCTAAATGCCAGACCTTAAACCCTAAACCCCAGACACTTGCCAACACCCCATGGCTCAAAGCTACCTCCGACTCTCCAGACGCTAATCCGATAGGATAGTGTTGGGACGCCAACCAGGACTCCAGAAGTGCCGCTGTCGTCCTGAAACTTGTGGGGATACTTGGGGCGGGGGTTGAGGGATGTTTTTGGTAGCTTAGGGTTGTGAAGACTTAGCATACCGTACTTGTAAAGTGTGAAACGCCCTCAAACCCGGTTGGACCTTACTTCGAATCCTAAAGCCGTTGTAGTGCAGTACTTATGGTCTTGGGCGTATTCGGTGTGCATGCCGAAGCGCTGTTGTGCAGCAGGTGCGCGGGTTGGGAAGTAAGAAACGGAATGAGACATCTTAGGCTCTGGACATGTCTCTGTAGACCAGGGCTCAGGCTTAGCGCAATAAGGGTTTAGGGTTCAGGGATTAGGGTCTAAGGCTTTTCCGGAACCTTGTTTCAGGTTGCTTGCCTTCTGCATTCTCATCGAACTGCCCAGGTCATTTATTTGATGAGTAGGTTTTGGAATATAGGACCGCGTAGTCAAGGGCCAGGACATTTCTCTAAACAAAACCAGAAGCGCCTGCACCTGCTAAGCCCAAAACCTGTGAAAAGTATAGTTTCTAGAGGGCTATCTTCGAGTATACTCTAAAGCATAGTTCGTATACAGCAAGCTCCAACAGTAAAGATCCGAAAAGCCCTATAAAACCCTATGACACAGCTCTGAAGCCCGATAAATAGCACCTTTCACATGGGCTTAGACTTTTTGGGTAAGCACGGGAGCTACTTCATGGCACAGCCAAGCCGTTCACGAGGCTCAAACGATCTGCCTCCTGTTTAGATGGGAGTTGCCGAAGACAAGGGGCCTCAACATAAACCCTGAGTTTTTGGATGCTCATTCGTACACCAGAACATCAGAAGCCTGCATGTCGCACTATCCCGGAACACGGGGTTTGGCCATGGGCTGGAGCTTCTTGCTTCATGTAAATGGTTTGTGCTGTCTGCTACGTCTGCCCAAAGCAGTTAGGGTGTCGGGTTTAGGGTTCTCGGGAACTGGAGCAGTGTGCAGGATAAAATGCTAAGTTTTCAAATCTTCCGCAATGCTTCAGGATCATGAACATGCGGGTGCGTGCCGCCGCAGAATCCACGGTGATGGTTTGTGACGAAACGATAATGAATTTCACAGTTTGGTGCTTCCCAAAATTACGGTCGCTGTTGCCTGTTACCTAGATCAGGAGAAGATAACGAGTTGCAAAGCGATGCTCTCTTCTAGAAATGCCAGAGCCTCGTACTTGTCGGTGTGCTTCACAGTCACCGTGAAGAAGATTGCGAAGGCCACAGGAAGGTAAGACAGAAAGGCCATGATCTCGGTGAGGTCAGATTGATACACATAAACAAGCACAGGTCTCTGACTTTTAAGAAGCAGTGCCGTGCTCTTCGACTCTTGGTTGCCGAAACTGCTTTCTGAACCCTCAACCCAACGCTGGCATGATCCTCATCTACATTAGTCATTAGTCTAAGAGGAGATAGAATGTTGTGGGATAGGATCGGATGGGGTAGGACGGCTTGGACAGGATAGGATGGAGAGGAGACGAGAGGGATGGAGGAGACGGAGATAAAGACCTGTACATCTACAAGCATGCCATATTCTCATATAGACATAAGTTCGCAGATGTACAGCAAGACCAACATCTACCAGCAGCTCTTGCTTGCTCAGCGTGGCATTGCGGGCTTCCAGTCGCTGGGAGCGGGATACGGAATCATTTCCAACATTCTCAGTGAGTCAAGCAGAAAGCGGCCAGTGGAAAGTTTATGTCAGTGTGTGTATTGAAAGGTCTTCCCAAACAATATTTTCCAAACACACGGTCGCCTATGGCTCTGGGTTAGGGAGCTGAAGGCCTAGAGCCGAGGATATTCCGAAATTACCATCATCAGCATGCGGCGAAATTTCTATTTGGTGCCAAAAATATGAACTCTTGAAGCCAAACCCCACAGCCTTCCACTCACGCCGTAAGACCGCAGAACACAACCCCGAAAAGCCATAAACCTTAAACCCCCTAAAACCTAAACGCCTAAAGTTGTAATTCCCAAATCTTGAAAAACCCGAAAGAAGCACAGCCTAAACTACTAAAGCCCTAGACTCAAACCCAAGCTAAGCACACCTACACTGAGACCCTAAAGCCAAGACCCCAAGCTTCTGATCCCCTGTCGACCGAAAGGTAATCTTGAAAACCGCCTTGTCGACCCTTCTAGAACCGTTGGAAGAACACCCAAACTTGCAAAGCCTTAAACCTTAAACCTTGACCTTTAGGAGCCCTTCAAGAGCGCCATGTGCCAAGGCGCATTTTCCAAAGACTCCTTGGAGAGGCCATTCTCACCTGTTTGCGTGTGCATGTATATATATATATATATATATATATATATATGTATATACACATATATACATATATGTATATACATATACATATATATATGTGTGTGTACGTATATATATATATATATATATATATATATATATATATATATGTGTGTGTGTGTATTTGTTTGCACGTGTGCAATTCTCCGTGTATGGTGTCTGTTGCTTTGCCCCCGCGGTGTTGCATGTGTGCTAGCCATGCGGTTCTATTGTGTTTTTCAATCTTCGCAAACGCTTCTTATCACCTGGGGGCTTAAGCTCAAGCAGTTTCAGCTTGGGGCTTTGGGGATCAGGGGCGCAGCTTTGGGCTTAGGGGTTAAGGAGGTACTGGGGCAGTGCTGAGAACAGGCTCCAAGACAATGGAACCAAACTCTAAAGAGCCCAACACCTTAAAACAAATGCCTCCAGATTTTGCATCATCGAAGACCGAACAACCTGCATCCCCACACTAATGTCTCATGGAGCCTGGGGCCTCGGACATGTCATGTACGAAAGGCTTGGTGTCGAAAGTTTGGTGGGCTTCATGCCTGCCTAGAACGATGGGAGGCCGTGTGCGTGTACATACATACATACCTACCTACCTACTTACATACATCATACATGTGTCTATGTGCTTTGGGGCTTGGGGTTTGGAGGTCTTGCACCTGGCTACAGGTTTTTTATGGTGCTCTACAATGTTGTATGGTGCATAAGGGTTTGGGATTTGCGGGAGCTTTGGGGAGACAAACATTAAACCTCTCTCCTTCCACCTGGGCTTCCGGTTCGGTGTTTTTCTGATGATTGGAGCTGCGAAAATGAACTAAAGCCAGGCAGCTCGGAGACATCACACCATCCATGGCTGCTGATCGCGGATCTTGCTCGCCGTGGCGAAGGCTTGTTTGCTGAATCCTACCGGTCGCAAACTCGCCTCCAGACCCAAAAAGCTCTGAATCTAGCGAAATCTGCCGTTTCGACATCCACCATTGCTGCTTCGCAACGTGAAGATATAAAGTAAAGATAAAACGACTGAGCGTTCCAAATTCAGGCATCGGAACCCTAAACCCTGCCATGTTGCCCCACACCTGCGTTCTTTGGGCCGGGCTTTTGAGCCAGGCACCGCCCTGACTCCGTGTAGCTTCGCGGCTTTGGGGTTAGAGCTTAGCGCTACAAGGGGGGGGGTAAGGTAATAATTTCGGCTCTAGACAATCATTTCTTCGCTCCAAACCTGCAGCCTAAATCCTGAACTCCTGCATGCCCTTCTTCCTCATGCGCTTGTGTACAATTGCCATCATGTCAATCTCGACAAGAGTCTGTGCGATTGTGTGCAATGCTATTGGGTGAGGCCTAGCGCCGAGAATCGAAACGGTGCCGACAGGGTGACGGTCGTACCAAGTCTCGCAACAGATTGCCTGGACGGGGCAAATGTGATAAGCCCCTCTATTTCTCACTTGTGCTATATAGCTGGAGTTGGTTTACAGATAAGTTAGCATGCTCTATCAAAGATGACCTCAGGACTGCTGCCTCTGTCTGCTTTCTACCAGACCATCTTCTGGAACTTTTCGAGCATAAAGGCCACCCGTGAAGCCGTCAATCTAAGAAACAAAGCAGGATAGGAGTAGAGCTTGCGGTTTCAAGCTCCTAAGGCTGCCTCTTTTCCGCGGGCCGCGACATCCGGTCCCAGAGCTCTGAACGGTGACACCTGACTTCTCTCGAATCCGTAAGGGTTTAGGGCTTAGGGCTAGCGGCTAGGATTTAAGTTTATAGTTGGAGGTTTGGGATCTAAGTGCACGTTCCTGTTGATGCTTCTTTTCACTGCCAACGTTTGCAGGCTGTGGGTGCCATGGATGCCATACCCTTCTTGTCCTTTTGGTGTTGGCGGCTTCCTCATAGCAGTTTTACTGGTGCCATTGCTGCTTGACCTGCGAACCCTTGAACCCTAAGCAGTGCTTGAGATCTTCTTGGTTGCTGGAGCAGCTTCGACAAGACGAACAAGAAGGGCGCAGGGTCTGGGTCTTAAGGATTGAAGGTGCGCGGTTGAGGCGAGGCTTTGGTTTAGCAGCTGGGGTGTAGGCCATGGAGCCAGACGGTCCACAAAGGAAACCCTCCAGCTCCGGCTCATGTTACCGCCGAACCTGCCAGCTCAAGGCAGACATGAAGGTTGACAAACCTGGAACTTTGTCTTCTGCATTCCAACTTCGAGTCCTCATGGATAGATTTTTCTTCTTCGATATGCAGTTCAGACGCGGCTTGTAGGAGGCCTGGATAAATCTCATACACTCTTCCACGGCCTCCCCAGATGCACTATGTGAGCCGTATGTCAGGGCACCCGTAATCCTCCTATCCACCTGACACTGTCCAAAACCTGCCGGTGGCTCCGATTAGAGCCTCTTTAAGAGCCGGGGCCTCAAATTAAGGGATCATAACCTGTCTGCTACATGGTTTGGGGATATAAGCAAACCGTACAAGTGACATGCAAGCGAGGTGAGCTGAACTTGAAACTCGACCTGCACCCCCACGTCTGAAAGCTGAAACCCTGCATCTTCATTCAACCCCTTACAGTGTAGGGGCTCGCGGTTTATAGACTTTGGCTTTCAGGGTTTGATGTGCGGTTTTGATGCCTAGGGTTCAGCATTCGGGGTTTTCAGGGTTTGGCTCAGGGTTAACGGTACGCCTAAGCCCACAGTCCCGAAAAGCCGTTGAACGCCCTACAAGTACATGGCCGCGGGCCTCGCCTGCACTTCAATTCCTTAACTTGAAACAGAACTCAAGCGGCTCGGTTTGGGAGGTTTAGAGTTTTGGATTATAAGGTTTAGGGGCCGGCCGGAGCGGCAGAAGAAAAACAACGGCGTGTCCTTAGCTAACTGCTTTCGATTTCGTTCCCAAACAGGTTGCTTACAGGCTGCAAATAACACCCCAACACCTGGAGCCCTAGACACAAAAGCCCGAAGCCCCTGCCCGAGAAACTACAGCTACCGAACCCTATATACCCTAAACCCTAAACCCTAAACCGCAAGCCCATGTAAAGCCCCCGCAGACCTCGCCAAAGAATGGGTTTCGGGTCTAGAGCTTTGGGTTTATATCCTCTGGTGCCTTCTTCTTGGCGGCTCCTGAAGGAGACTTGCTCGCAGGACTTCTCCGCTTGACCTGGCGAAGGCTTAGGGTCCTCGCGATTTCTCCGAGGGCTTATAATCGGATTGTAGGAGACTTTAGATATATACATTAGTCTCTTGAATAACGCTCCTCAGACGTAGCTTCACGGGATGTGAAGGAGTTTATTCACGGTTTTGCTGCTTAGGGTCTGGAAGGTTTCGCAGGGTAGAGGTTTTGGGAATTTAGGTCTTTATGACTTGGGGGTTTGAGTTTCGGGTTTGGGATGTAGAGTCTAGTCTCAGTGCAGGTCATGGAATGAATGACCTGGCAGTGTCAGAAAATGGGTTCCATGAGTCGATACAGCTTGCAGCTGTCTTCTACGTTTTTGCCGGGTGCCCTGCGAGAGGCTGTGCATTGCCTTCAGGTTGCCCGCAGTATCTGACTTTAGTGCAATTAGCGTTTAGTTTAGAGGCTTGAGACCAGAGATTTAGTAAGGGAATGTGGATTTAGAGTTACTGTGGCTTTTCTAAACCCCAAAAAACTAGACACAATATCCCCCTGGTAGTACAACGATACACAAATACCCCTAAACCCTCATCGAATAGCGGAATGCCCCGATATCCGACAAATAAAACCCTACTCAAAGCCACCAAGCACTAAACTCTGAACCCTCGAGGTCTGCGTAACGTCCTCCTGAGAGTTTGCTTGGCTAATATAAAGGCAACCCTTTGCGAAGCCCGAGCTGGTGGCAGCAGGCTTATTACAGAGCCTTTTCTAGATCGTGGCCCCAATGGACCCCAAGTGAAATTACCGGAGCGCAGTTTGGCTCAATGTCAGAATGTGAAATTTGAGCTCAGGCAATCCGGGGTATGGTGACCCCGCCCGCGAAACGAATGTCCCCTGACGCGTCGACCTGCTTAGCTTTATCTTTGTCCTTATCTTTGCCTTTGTCGTTGTCCTTGCAGGAATTCCATGGATCAGGATTTCTGAATCTAGGGTTCCCTGGAAAATGTGCCGCAACGACAGGGGAGTGTAGTGTTGCCGCAGACTGGGCTAGCATCGGGGACCAATACGCATCGCATAGGCTCTATACCATGATCACCATACAGTTATTCTACCTGGGAGCAGATGAGACTGCCAATGAGACAGAGAGCGAATGAGACAGAGAGAGAGAGAGAGACAGACAGACAGACAGACAGACAGACAGACAGACAGACAGACAGACAGACAGACAGAGATCTCATCTGAGAGGCTTGCAGTGTTAAGGCTACTATTTTTGCGAAAGTTGGGCTCCGTCCAAACACTCCACCGCTGCCTGTACTTGGAGAGCTTCGCTCTGAGACCCCATCCCTTCTGCGAGCGTGCTCATCTAGCATATTATTCGAGACTCCAGCACCGGCTTGCTGCTTTGAGCTAAGCTATGTGCATGTCGTTCTCGGTAGCGGCCCTGCACTATGCAAGATCTGCAAAAGCTAACCTCTGTGTCTAGGCCCTAGAAAGGCATTCTAAATTAAATACTCTGAACACCCCAGTTCCAAGCCCCCAAGCTCTGAACCCAAGACAACCCAAGCGTTGCCTTAGGTATGAGTGCTTGCTCTTCCAGACTGAGAAACGCTGAGTCCTACCATCTCAAATCCACTGCCCATGCCCATGCCCCCCCCCCCGTCCCCCCGACCCTAAACTTCAAGGCTCTGACAGGCTGTTCATCCCAAGTGTCCTTGTCCTTCTGCTTGGCATCTTTGTCGGAATCCTTGGCCTTTGCCTTCTCAACTTGTTGTTTCAGAAACCCTACATACTCTGAAACCTATGCCATTTTAAACTCCAACCCTACACCCTGAACCCTAATTGCAAAGAAAAGCTTAAGGCCTCAAACCCCAATGCCGCTCGGGCATGGCTTTCAGGCATTTAGCCCTCACAGGCTACTTCGGGCTTTTTGGGGCTCACCATGCAAGCTTTAACAAGACATGCGCTTAACCCCACACCGACGACCCGATGGGCCCGGCTTGATAAAGACCCCGGTCAGGCCAAACAAAATTTCCGTGTAAATTGCATGCAGGCACATCGGAGTTTTCGGCTGTGCTCGTGTAAAAAATGCGCCACGTCAGGCTTTTCATCTGGATAAGTTATTGAAAAGCCCTCTCGGAAACTCTATACGATAAGGCTACTTGATGCTGCAGACGCACCGCGATGGCAGCAGTTACAAAATCCACTAACCCAAACCCTAGACAGAGGTGAGCCAGGATCAACGAATTGGCAAGGAAAGCCTTTTCCTTGCCTTTCGAACGCTCGCGTTCCTGTTTAGCACTCGGAGACGGAAGGAAATTGGCTCCGGGAGTATTGGCTTTGGGCTTTAGGGGCTAGGGACTTGGGATGATTAAGATGTAGGGGCTGGTGTTGGGGTCCCTACTTTGAGCCGATTGGGGCTTGCAGCCTGGATCAAGGCTTGGGGCAATGGCATGCTACCTCAATCCACAAAACCATCCTCCACTCATGTTCCAGATCTGGGTCAGGGCGTTGGGTTAAGATACTCAATCATGATTGGTTATTGCGACTGCCACAGTTATAGGCAAAATACGCAATATAATAACAGTAATAATATACGCCAAACACGAGGTGAGGCTCCAGCTAGGGACCAGGCTGTAGGGAGTAGTGGTGCGGGGCTCTGAGGGTTCACCGAGCGCTTTGAATGTTCTTCACTAGCCGTCAACAAGTAGCCAGATGTGTTTGGATAGTCTTCCAGTTCGACGAGCAACCCCCCTGAACCGCACCGCAGACACAGGAGCTGTGCACTGCTGAGGAGTTTCAAGGAGCTCTCAGGAACCAAACCCAAAATCTGCCCAGAGGTCCAGAGCAAACAAAGCTGACGGATTTAGGAATTTCGGTTAAAGGCTTAGGGATAAGGATCCTGAGTTCAAGGCTCAAGGGACACCCAAACCATCTTAGATCTACGACCTGAAGATCCCCTTTGGTGGCGATCCTTCTCTTTCTCGCGCTCCTTGTCCTTCTCCTTTTCTCTCTCTTTCTCCTGGATTGGGGTCTGCAGGCTCTGTGATGCAGGGCTTCGGGTCTTGAATCCGAGATCCCATGCTGACTGTCCTTTTCTCTCCTCTGTCTTTCCTTCTCCTGGTCGGGTTGGGCCACTGCTGCGACATGAAAGCAGCAGAAATCTCTGCGATACACATGATAGTGCCTGCTACATAGTAGTTTCTAGAATACGGCACGAAGAGGGTGCAGAAAGCCAGTTTGCCGTGTAGTGTTTCCCGCACTCCTCAAAGCTTTCTGAATCCAGAGTTTTGCTTGCCTCATTGGGTTTCGGGCCGAAGGTCTCATGTAGATTCTGAACATGTCCACAGTCCATAGCCCCATCCGAAATGCAGCAGCAGGAGCTTGCTATTCACAAGGCCATGGCGCCCCAAAAGACCAAGGCCCTGAACTCAATCTCCAAAGCGCTCAATGATAGCCTCCCACTACCACTCCAGAAGTTGAGAAGTTCGGCTTGGCTTCAGGACTTGGCCTTTGGGGTTCGGGCTTTGTTCAAGGACCCCTGCCGGGGTGTAGTGTTTAGGGTTGAATTGTCTTCGGGTCCAAAAACAGGCAGCAAAGCCCCCAGCTCCTCGTGTAAATCCGCTACCCTCAACAAAAGGCTTCTGCAATTGGATCCTGATCGTCAGGCCACTGGGGCTTACTGACAAGGCCTAGATTCTCAAAGAGGCTCATCTGCTTGAGCTTTACAAGTTGAAGCATGGACCCCATTGTACGAGCCTCTTTGAGGTCTGGCTATTTCCATAGAAGAGAGCCCTCCTCGAATTGCTTGAGACGCTGAGAACATGTTTTCGAAGCTAAAAGCCCTTTAACCTTATCTGGACCCTTCTTTGCTGAGGAACCGGTAAGCCCTTGCTGAACGCTAAAGACGCCTGCGCTTGCTTTTCTTTTTCCTTCTTCAAGCGCTCCTCTTTCTCCTTGGCCTGCTAGCTTTTGGTTGTGGGGCCAGGGTCTTGTAGTGTTTTCGGCAAATAGCTCGGGGCACCTAAACTGAGATATAAAGAGTTGGGGTCCAGAGCTTGTGGTTCCGGAACAAAGACCATGGCTCATGGCTTCAGGTTTTGAGATGATGAGTTATCGGAAGTAGCACTTCGTAGTTCCAAGCGCAAGTTCACTGGCTGGCCACAGAACAAGTTTCGGAATTAGGAGTACCTACACCTGCAAGGATGTCTGAGGGGCAGTACCTCGACCGCTGAAGCCGGTCCCCCAAATCTGAGGACTTTGGTTTCCCACTTTGGGCACTCTTGAACAGGCTTGACATCTTGCTCCCGATCAGAAAGCGCACACACACACACACACACATGTCCGCAGCTCAGGGATTCGGGAAATCAACCCGACGGGTCACACATATATTCACTGTGCTCGCTCGGCTCGCTGTGGCCCAAAATATCAACTGTGCCTGATAGCCCCTTCGGTTCACAGAACATGATTCCCAAGCAGGTCCCAGATGCAATGAGTGGAACCTGTCTGGTTCTGAAAGGTCATGTCTTTGCCCTCCGCTTGGCAGTACATGAAATTTAGTTTGCAGGCAGCCTTCTCTTGAAGAGCTCCCGGCAAGGTCCTATAATCCCTAAACCCTAATTTATAAACCCTAGACCGGTAATGTGACAAGAGTTGGTTATCAAAACGACTCACCAAAAGCCCCCCCCCCCAACTGGAAAACTCCTCTCGTCCATTCTCCGAGTACCACACAGGCCGAATTCCCAAAACTGATGCTGGACCGAATGCTTCGACCCAAACCCTGAACGCGCTTGTGCTGGGGCTTTGTGAGAGAGGGGGCAGAAGAGCCTGAATTCAGACCTCAAACCGCAAAACCTTAACCCCGTAAACCATCAACTCTTGTAGCTGCAATCCCTGCTAAACTGCTGCAGAGCCGCACAACTTTCTCCAAGTGCAGTTGTTCGCCCTGCTTCCTGTATGTCGAATCCTCAAGCGCTAACATCAACCCGCAAACCCTGAACCGTCCCCCAATGCTGCTCACGCCCTCCTAAGACAGCGTAGAGCGCCTCTTTCTCTTCTTGCTTCTTCCTTACTCAGGGTTTAGTGTTCAAGTGTCGTCTTAGGGACATTTAGGTTCGGGAACGCCCGGACACTTCACGAACCATGCTGTTGTATGCTATTGTTGGGCTCAACGAAACCGGATCCTCCCAAGCCAGAAACTAGCAAGCATGGTTGGCCAAACATGATTCTTGAAGCTGCGCAATTGTATTTCAGCCCGGACATCACCCACAATGCAGATGTCCATACAGATGAACCTGTCCATCATGGAATCCGCAACTCTTGCAAGAAACCAATGTTGCTCCTGCTTTTGCTCATGCACAGCTACGCTTGTCACATGCATATGTGCAAACGAAAGGCACGAGCCTGCGCAAGCACGCTTGCTAACTTGTTACATCTATCTACGTGCTATATGTCCATATACATATACATGTGTATGCCTATGTAGGCGTGTATGTACATGTATGCACGTGTACAGTTAGATCTATACATGTATATACATATATGTACTTATATAATTATATACATATACACATACGTGGAGTAGGCAAGTATGTATGTGCATGCGCGCATGCAAACATAAGCATCTAATTCACGCAGAATTACATGTGTGAGTGTGCGTGACAACTTTACTCAATCACCCTACATGTGCAAACCCCCAACCCGGAAACCACCAAAGAAGATCCGAAAAGCCGAATGGTGCTAGGTCCAAACGCAGAGAGGGGAGGAGCTACCCTCGCGCAACACCATCAAAGCAAGGACGGTTCAGGATGTAGGAAGCTGAAAGAAAACCCGAACGCAGAACAACCTTTTCTTGACCTTGCCAGGCTACTTCTTCTCACGCTCCTTCTCCTGGCAAGAAATAGGTTAACGCCGAGAACAGTAGAGCCGAATCCCAACGCCCTAAGACCTTGAAATCCAACTCCGAAGACAAAAGCATCCCAAACGTCACCCGCATCCTCTGAAGCTGAAGGCTCAGGAGCCTCAGACGTCCATGCATCAACAGTATACAGTATTGCACGCCAGTGAACCAGATGTAGGAGCTTTGGGTTCGCTCTAGGGCTCTGGGACACTCAGGATTCTCGCTCCCTTTGAAGCTTTTTCTTGGGTCCTTATGGCCTGAAGGGGGCTCGGAGAGCTGTTTCGCAAAAGCCCAAGAGTTTTCTGAGGCAACGCATCTGTCGGGCTCCGGGCTTCGGGTTTTCCAATGGCCAATGTTGGTTCAGAATTGACGGGTATGCCCCCCTGCCGCAACCCATCGTATCACCATGTATCACCTCTTCCCATTTGTGGAACGGCTCAGGTAGATTGAGACTCGCTCCCGAACCCTTCTAAAAGCCACAGGGGTTGTGATACATGACCGATAGATAATTTAGTCATGACTCCTGTATACCGTATATACCGAGAAGAAGACCCCAAACCGCAATTCCTACTTGCCAAAATCATGCAGATCCTGATTAGTGAACATTCGTGCTTCCAATGCCGGTAAATTTAGCATCGCCACCCTAACCCCGATGAAGAGAAGAAGGGGGAGGGTCACTACTCCGACCCGCTCCTTCTCCTTTTCTCGCTGCAGCTGCAGATCCTTCTCCTGGTCGAGACCATTCTCTTTCTAACACTTCGGGTACAAGCGTATAGTCGTGCACAGGTTTGATACTGATAAGCATCTGCATGCACACAGTAGGGGTATTGAGTTACGTGGTGCTCTAACCGAGTTGGAGCAAGAATGGCGACGATAAAGCAATAGCCGTCAGTTTGAGACGCCCTTGCTGCTGCCGAGGGGCCGTGATCACATGTCAACTCCCTGATCCTTTATGCAAGAGGCTGAACAGGGCGTTGTCGTCGTACTCCATGAGCCTAAATACTGAATGGCCCTTCAACGGCTCTGAAGCTACGAAGAGAAGGACATCCTGACGACGGAAACAAAGTGAGCACGACGCTGCAAGTGAAATGCGCCAGGCCTGGAGTGTCCAAAAAACTGACCATAATGCTCAGCATCGTGTTACGTGTCAGTTATCATCATGGCGACAGCGACACTTTGCTTCCCTTAAGATCGTAGCTGGAAACTTAAGCTAAGAGATGCTTGAACAAGAGCCCAGACAACCAACATGCAGTGAGACGGCATCGCTTTAGAAAAGGATATCACTCCTGCGGGCTTTCGACGGGAACCTGCAACCGAAAGCTGATGTCGTAAACTCGAAACCCAATCCTCAAATCCTAAAACCTAGACTCTAATCCCAAAAACCTGAAGTACTAGACCCTATAAACCCTTGACCCGGATCTCCCGATCTCCACACCCTCTGGTCACGCCCCAGATGATACACACGAACCCCCATGATCCTCTTGCACCCTGGTTTAAACCTTGCATCCCTTTACTCCCCGAGTGTACTTTTGAAGTGTACTCCAAGCTGTACATATTATACCACCACATATCCTTGATAGGGAGCGTCAGGATGCCGAGCCCTGAACCACTATCTCAACAGTGGCAGTCATCAATCGTGGTCCGTGGAGGCAGCCTACACCCTCAACCACCAGCCCTAGATTATGAAGAGGCACCGCCGTGAAAGCCTTCTCACGCTCCTTCTCCCGCTCCTGCACCTGCAAAGTGATTCCGGCTTATTTTCTTTTGAGGACGATACCCTCAACTGTAAACCCTGAGTCGAAGCCCGCAAAGATCATGCAAATACATCATCCTCCTGCTTCAGAAGTTGAGCCAACAAGGTTGCTGGTTCCATTCTCGCCACCGATATTGGTACTGGTGCTTCACTGCGTGGTTGCAAGTTTGCAGGTTCTTGCTCCTCATATTTACTGTGGCAATTTACCTTGGTGTTAGTCAGGGAACTGAACTGTTATTCAGCCTCGTTTCCAGGTATTCTTGACGCCCCCTGCTTCCGCTGAAGTCAATAGGATAATCTAGGGTGGACAGGGAAGAGCCTAACCACACAAAAAATACAGTTCTAGGTTGGGGGGGCACTACATTGTGTGTTCCTGCGAAACTTAGGCCCTACACCCAAACCCTGAACTGGGCTGAGGCAGTCAGAGAAAGAAATCTACATTCTAAAGCAGTCGGAGCTAGGTGAAAACTAGAAATGACAGAAGCTCCCACGCCCAAACGGTCAGGTCCGAAAAACTAAATGAACTACTCCTAACCCCCGATGAAAGTCAGAAATCTTTTCAGCATGGACGGGCCTTGGGATCTCCGTCTCGCGCAGCCTGCCGAGCTGGAAAGCTTCGGGCGGACATACTTAGACTAGAGCTTCTTAGAGTACACTGCGGTACATCCGCAGAGGGGCAGAAAGGGGTTTGGTCTGGGACCTCGGACTTAAGCTTAGGGTTTCGGATGTAAGGCTTGGGTCTCCGACTTCCTGTCGAGAGATAGGGGTCTCGGGCTCTTGGGTCACACTTGGTACTACATTCACAAAGCCTCCTTCATTCCCATGCTTGCCCACACTGCGACCCCTGATTTCACAAGCAGCGTGATGTCGAGATGTGAGCAGTGCATGCCTTGCCTGGCAAATTTCGCCAGCAGCCTTCAGCACTATGCCGAAAGAAGTCTGTACGGTACGTCAAACAGTCCCAGCTGCAGCTTTGCAGACTGCTCACTCCCCCACTCGAGAGGCTTGGATGGCCCCGGGAAAAGAAGTTGGGGAGCTTGAGAGGAATGTTACAAGGGTTCGGGCAAGAGTTCACCATTCACTTCAGCTTTATACACGCAGGCTTTTACAAAGCCTCCTTCATTCCCATGCTTGCCCACACTGCGACCCCTGATTTCACAAGCAGCGTGATGTCGAGATGTGAGCAGTGCATGCCTTGCCTGGCAAATTTCGCCAGCAGCCTTCAGCACTATGCCGAAAGAAGTCTGTACGGTACGTCAAACAGTCCCAGCTGCAGCTTTGCAGACTGCTCACTCCCCTTTCCGCTTGCCCCGTTTTGGAGTTGTCGGTTGAAGACCGTTCTGCCGAAGTAGACGTGAGAGAGAGTCTCGAAGTCTCTTGGGCGCAGCTCGCACGTGCTGCAGTCTGTCTCGAGGAGCGAACTTCCACTGCCTTTGCAAAAGGGCTGCTTTCTCGTATCGTCGAACAGAAGCCTTTGCTGCCCAGCGACCTCGCTTCTGAATGTGCTGCAAGGAAAGGCGCTCGTGAGCACGATCATTGGAGGCGCCGGAGTGTCGCAAAATGTGCGGCTGTAGCACATCACCTGTGTACCCAAGGCGCCGGCAACAGTCTCGAAGAGCTTTTTCGTAGTGCCCAAGGTTGATGCCGTCAAAGAGGTAGGTGCCCGGCAGACTGAACAGGTACTCCATGACCGAGGCCATCCAGCTGCGGTTTTTCACCTCTCCGACAATGAGGCTGTCATCTGAGACTCCCGCCTTTGTACGTTCCCCGAGCTCGGAGAGGCACACTATGATGCCCCAGCGCGGATAGCGCGGACCCGCGGGCGGTACGAGGTGAGCTTTGGTTAAACTCAGAGCTTCCGACGGCCTCAGGTAGCAGTCAAATTGAAGGAGAACGAGCGCCATCAATATTGGACGCAGCTCCCCGAGGGCGATGGCCACATCAAAGATGAACTCTTCCGGCACCGGCAGCCGCATGGATCCCGGACGGAGTTTGCGCCATCCTTTCAAGGACTCTTTGGCGTTGGGCAAGAAATCCGACTTTGGCACAGAGCACCTCAACAACTGGAGACCATAGATGAGGTACGATGCCACCCATGGTTCCGCATCATCGTGCTCAAACATCCAGTTCATGTATTTCACCACGATGGAGTCCATAGAACGGTTGGTCACCTTGAGCCGACGCTCTTTGGCCCAGTTCTCAAAGGCAGCAATCCGCTGGTGGTAGGCATCCAGGGTTGTCTGTGATACCTTTGCCGCCTTGAGCCTTAAGGACAAAGGGAGTGGTCGCCCCGTCAGGTCCACCTTAGGCTGCGGCTTGTGTTTCTTACGCCTCCTGCCCGCCACCTTGTCGACGGGCTCGGCGGCGAGAGGCTTCCTCTTTTGTGTGCTGCCCGAAGACAGGCTGGGCTGCAATGAGCATGTCGACGTTCCTGTTCGAGACGACTCCGGGACTCGGCGCCCTAACCGGGCCCACCAATTCACGGGGGAGCCGGCTGGCGTCTTTGAGCTCTGCATCGACCTGGGCTAACAGATCAATGGAAGCTCCTTGTGCCGAATCCGGTGCCACACTTTCCAACAGAGCGACCCAACAGGTCACCAGGGCTGAGTTGTAAGCCCCCGCCGTCTCAGTGCAGTTTTCTGAAGCCCATCTGCCGTCTTTTCTCACACGATGTGTGCCTCTCAGCTGCTGATGCGAATGGCGTCCATCACACTTTCTCGCTAGCCCGCTAAGCACTTCCAGATTAGTGAGGATGCTGGTGGGTTTCTTGTGCTTTGTTCCAAACATGCAGGAGTCAAAGGAGATGAAGCACACACGAGAATCTCGAAGAACCGCTTGAATTGGTTCGAAATCCCACAGTCTGGAGTTGCGAGGATTCTCAATGGAAAACCCTATACCTCTATCCAAACATAGCCACGCCACCCTTGCAGTGAAGGCAGCCAATTGGACACCAATGCGCTCCTTGAGCCTGGCCGCCTTGACGTTTTTGATGTTGTGACGAGCTCTGCTCCAAACAGTGCAAGGTACTCCCAAGTGAAGATACCACAGAGCACCACTTTTCACATGCTCAAGAACAACATGCTGAACTGCTGGATGGGTAAGGTCATGATGGGGCCCGTGTCGAATATCCAATGGACAGAGCATCCTGAATCCCTTGCGAACTAGACGTCTAGTCAGGTTCCCAGTCCCCGAGAAAATCTCCCAGGCTGCATCCCCTCGAAGTTGCCCCTGGCCTCGATCCCGGCGGATCCCACGCTCGTCTCCACAGCCTTGCTCAAATGAGTTCGTGGTTCGGTGCCCACAAAGGGGTGGAGCATGAGCAGGTTTCCGCTCAAACTGAAGTTGAGGCTTGGGGTCAAATAGTCGAGAAGGACGGTCCGCGGGGTTAAACTCGGTTCGAATGTGTCTCAGCCTCCAGGTAAGTCTTCCCCCGACGACGTAGGCGCATGCCCTGCGAATAAGTCGGTTCAGTGCTGAAGATGAGGACCTACCTTTTTCGAAGGCCAACACAGAAACCATATTATCAGAAAGCGTAAAGACCACCTTCCCGAAATGCACTGAGGATCTACTCCATCTTCGAAGTCCCATGAGACAAACTCGAGCTTCTTTCGGATTGATGTGCTCCTTTTCATCCTCCCAAGGTGCCGCCTGAATCAAAGTCCAACGAGAGGTCTCATGCCACCCGCTGTGTATGGGAGGATGCCGAACTGCCTCTAAAAGCGTAGGTTCCACAGACCTCGGCGGGCCGAAAAGCTGGATTTGCCGCTGCTGAAGCCGATGTGGACCAAGCTCATCACGACGACGTTTGATTTCCTCTGCATACTCTGTCTTCATGGCCGCCGTCTTGGTGGCCCCATGTCCTCTGAAGTCCTGCTGCAAGACCCCGTTCGCATACTCCTGGTCCGCCAGGGGAAAGTTCAAAAGCCGCCCCGGTATGAAACCCCACTTCTCCTGCACCTCCAGCTCCCTCTTTATCTCCGCGTCGGTCGCCACGGTAGACATCAAGGAGAAGCCGAACATGGAGGAGTCGCCAAGGTGCACCAAAGAGGACCGAGGAGCAAGGAGGTCCCGCTCCACGGCGAAAAGGAGGCCCATGACCTCCCTCACTTCCTTCCGGACATTGGGCCAAACCACCGCTCGGCGCCCAAGGTGCTGGGACGCAAAACGATAGCAGGAGGAAAGCGTAGACAAACAAGGCCGGCAGAGCGAAAAGTAGTAGTTCACGTGACCAAGCCAGACTCTCAACAACTCGCCCGAAAGCCTCTGCCGTCTAAGCATCCCCTTGCTTGCCAGCCAAAGTCGCCATGCTCGTTTTCGAGTATTTCTGACCACACAACCTTCCGAGAAGTCGAACTCCAGGCCCAAGGTTTCCAAGGATCGCGCCCCAGCCCGGTCGGTGACCACAAATGGGATACCAAGCTGCTCGAACCGAAGGGCCACGGAGTCCATCACTTCGTTCACGGCGTCCGCTCCCACTCCCACCACGTTCACATTGTCCACGTAGACACCAATGGCAGGAGAAGTGGAGGTCACCGTTGGCGACGGCCGCTTATCCCGGATGAAACGGTCCTCGCTGAGCCCACTGCCCAAAGCACTTTGCCAAGCCACAATCTCGTTCGCAAGATAGAGCGCCCACGACCAGCCCATACACATCCCGCGGAAGGAGAAGTAGAGCTCCTCTTCATCCGCAGGTCGCACAAAGGTCCGGGTGTCATCGTCGTAGATGGTCTCAAGGTCGAAGCCGAGCCGCCGCAAGTCCGCGGCTGTCTCCTTGTCGTCGGTGCAAAACCAGCTAGCCAAACACTCCACGGAGAAGTTATAGAAGCAATCCCCCACGTCGCCTGCCGCCATCGACGGCAACTTCACCTCTGCGATTGGTCCCTGCCCTTGCATCGCATCCGAAACAAAGTCGATGTCAGCGAAACCCGAAGCAGTGGATAACCGAGTGGTAGGAGGACGCCGATGTTGCTGGTTAGCCACCCGTGCGTCGACAATAAGACGCTGCCAATCATCTTTCTTTTTGACCGTGAAGAAGCCAACTCGGCCTTTGCGCCGCTTCCGAAACGTGAGCAGACCAGCATTGGCCAGCTCCGCATAAAAGTCGTAGCGAAGCTTCCGGTCCCGACGAAGTCGTGGGTCCCAATATGGCTCCACCGTGGTTGTTATCTCACTGTCCGCTTCCAGCTCCGAAGGAGATTTTTCAATGAGCTCGGCAAAGTGGTCGAGGAAAACGGCCGCATGTTCAGGAAGAAGATCTCGAGCAGGTAGGACCGGCTGTCGTCTCCGTAGAATCTTAATTCGCTGCATGTCAAAGTCGGCAAGGTGCGCGGCCTCCCCCGTGTAGAGGTTGGCCTTCGCGGCCATGTTGGCAACCGCCTCCTGCTCGTCAAGATCCAGGGGGCAATCGCCAAAGTGAGAGACCCGCCTCCGAATGTCATCCATGATCCACTTTTGGGATTGTGTCAAAGGCAGGTCCCCGGATGCTGCTTCAAAAGGTACTGAGGCGAGGTCGTTCAAGGTCTTGAAAACCCCGTCCACTCGCCGTGTCAGTGAGGAAGTCGCTCGCCCCAGCCGCCGATGATGTTCCAGTCGAGGCAAGGGGAACGGCTCCCCATGTTTTCGGTCCTTCGACCGAACACGAATTCCGAAATCTGTCCATGCATCCGCCGGCGTCATGACGAAGACCAGGATGAACCCCCGGCTCGGCCCCCGTCAGAAGGAACTGCTCTAGGCCTTGGCCGCGGCCCCCGAGGAGCCGCCAGCTGCACCACCGTAGTCGCCCGTTCCTCCTTTCCCCTTCTTCTTCTTCTTTTTCTTCTTGTCCCTGCCCGGCTCATCGTCGTCGCTGGTATCCTCTCCAGTCGGCCTTCCGCCGTACCCCCGCCCTTTGCGCTCGGAGCGGAAAAGCCGTTCCTGCTTCCAGATGGCTGCCCTTTCCTTCATGCGGTTGCTGACCCACTCCGTGAACTTGTTGGTGGTCGCGCGGCCATCTGGGAGAGTCGCTGCGCCCGCCACAATGTCCAGTCCTGAGTAATCCGGCTGGCCGGGTGAACGCTCCACCGCAAGTTCGGTCTGCACCATCCATCGGCAAAGAGATTCTCCAGCAGCGAGGGCGCTCACGTCCACCTGATCGTAGGAATGTAGAAGACGAAGTATTTCACAAAGGTTCCTGTGCACATGCGCGGCCGCGTTGCGACCTGACACGCCTGAGAGCCTCAGCCATTCGGCGTGGTATGACAAGAAGTTGCCAGGCCCCTCCGCCACACTCTCATGCAGCTCCTTAGCTGCCCTCACCCCGGTCAAAGGAAAATCTGGATCAGCCGGGGCATGCATGAGAGCAACTGCAGACGACAAGTCAAGACGACGCTTTCCACTAGCATCCTTATGATCGCCCAAAAGTCGTACATCTCCGAGTTCCCGCCCGCGGTCAGCTCGCCATTGGTCCAAGGAGCCAGCTTGAAGCCTTTCGACAAACAACTCTTCCCCCTCTAAGACAACCACCCCCTTCGTGGCGAACGCCAGCCCGGTGACGGCATCCTCAAGGAGGGTTGTGTCAATCGGAGATCCGAAGAGACGGTGACCAGGCTCGGCCACCACCCAAAGCACTGCATCGACCTCCTCCATCTCACCCTCGCCCAAAACGCGAGCCATGACTCGAGCTCGCCTCTTGAACTGCTGTAACACCGGCTGGCCTATGGGGTCATGCGCATAGATCTCGTTGACGATGTCTGCCGGGAAAGGCGCCCGCCGGTCCAATACCCGATGGCGAACGGCCTGCAGGTCGTGACTTTCAAGGTCGTGGTCAGGGGTCAGGGTGACCCATTGTCCTCCCTCTATCCGATGCAGCAAGACTCGGTGGTGCCAGTAGAAGCCGCCCGCATCATGCGGGAAGTTGACCAGCACCTGCACCTCCGGAATGTCCAGAGTCAGGTCCCCCATCTCGAGGCTTCAATTGCACCCCTTTCAAGGTTGAGGGCCTGGCAGGCCCCACTCGCACCGGAGTCGACCCCGGGGTCGAGAGCTTGGTAGAAGAAGGACTTTGTGAATCAACTGCGTTCTCCGTCGGCAGCGAAGGTAAGCTCAACTGCGTTATGGACGCCCGATCCCGAGGGCGAGTCGAATATACAATCACCGTAATCAGAACCCAAGAAAAGACCAGAAGCTTCCAAAGGATATCAAGCCACTGCCTTGCCCTTTCAAGTTCAGCTGCGTCCCGGCCCACCTCCTCGACAAGTTTTCTCAGGCCCTCCACCTCAGTTCGGAGACGAGAGACCTCGTAGGTCGCCAGCTCGGACACCGAAGGCCTCCGAACGTCGCTCCAGAAGCAGTAGCCGACCAAGGCCCACCAGGACCACGCAGTGGACATTCAAACCCTGTAAAAGAAGTTGGGGAGCTTGAGAGGAATGTTACAAGGGTTCGGGCAAGAGTTCACCATTCACTTCAGCTTTATACACGCAGGCTTTTAGCTACGGATATGGCAGTCTTGGAATGGGGGATGTCAGTTTCCTTGAGTCTGTGTAGGATTCAGGATACCCACGATCGAGTTTCTACAAGACCATGCTAAGTAGAAGAAAGAGTCTCAGGCATAACGGGGCCCAAGGACGGGTGCACGCTGAAACCGACGGCCTGCCCAGTCAAGGCCAAGGAAACGAACGATAGGGTGCAAGACTTAGGGCGCAAAATACAGGGCACAAATATTGCTAACATCATATGTAGCTGTCCCAAATTACACCCGCAATCCCAAAACAGCCACGTCCCAATGTTTCTGCACGCTAAAGTACTAAAACTAGGACCACTTCATAGGCCCAGAGCCCTGGCCAATCCGGCTTTTGGCTACCCGGCAAAACAATCCGAAAGCAGGTTCGGCCCGGAAGATGCAAGAATTCGAAGGCAACATTCTTGGCTTTCCGAATAAGCATTAAACACGAGCTGTAATGCATGCCTGAACTTGAGATGCCTGCCGCTGTCGGCATTGGCAGAGTCCGACTTTCATCGGGCTGGCTCTCTGCACCACGACTGTACGTACTCGTCGCCCAGCAGGAAAAGTCCTTCTCCCGAAGCTTGCCCACTCGGTCGCAAACTCCAGGCATATGTGATGTATGGTCGCCAGCACGCAAGAGTCTCCTCTTATGTCGCAGGCTTCTGCTTCAAAACCCGGACGGCGTGGGACGAAGCTTCTCGTGGAAACTGTACCGCAACAGCTTCCGCACTTCTCCACTGTCCCGTATTGTGTTGCGTGGCATCAACCACGTAGTATATGTTCGTAGGTCTCTGCAGCCGACGCTTTGTGTGTTGGTCTGTTGTCATCGCCATCATTCCACAAACGTCACCGGTCTTCTCATCATTCTGATTCGGGCGGTCAGTATTGCAACATGAGTAACCATGTGCGAAGCTCGAGTAATGCGGCTACGCAAGACCTAGGCCCTATAACCCCCAAACACCAAAAAAACGAGGGGCTGAATCATTGATTCTCTGTTGAAGGGTTCGAAGTGTTCAGGTGGCATAGCGCGTCTACCTACGGTTTAAAGTCATCGCCTTTTCGGAGTCTCATACGTCTGCTTGGCCCCTCCTACCTTAAGTCCGTGGCTAGGTTGTCGCCGAGTGTACCAGCAAGCCCGATGCCTTCTTGGCATCACCACACTTGGCGTCGTGCTCCTGCCGCTTCGCTGACATGTTTAGGAGGGTTGTCAGACCTGAACAACCCACCCCTGCAAGAACAGAAAACATGCACCTACCCCAAAACTTTCCGACAGCTCAAAACCTTAACTCCCTGCTCCAAGGCCGACTGTTTGGCGACCTGCCACTACCTCAAATCATTAACCCTACATGCGCAAGACCCGCATCCCTTTGACGACGTGGGAGTCTGTCACAGTTTCGTTCTTAAGCCCTCCATGCGGCTTCGTAACTTTGGTGTACCTTTGACGGGCCGCTAAAGGTGCTTATCATGCTTCTTACATTCGAAGTAAGGTCTCTTGTACAGGAAGGACCATCGGGAACTCACTTCCTCCTCAGATGATCCGGCGATCCTCGCCTACAAGACAATTACATGTTCAAACCCAATCCACACTCACCCTTAACCCGAGACCCCTAAGGCCTGAACCCTAAACCCCAAACACCCGAACCTGCGAACCCCAAAAAAGCAGACCCTGAACGGCCCTAAACCCCAAACCCTTACGGTCATTCAGGCTGGAATTTCGAACAACAGAGTCGGGGTCAGGGTTGAGGTGCGACGGGTTTCTAGGGTTCAGGCTTGTGGATATAGGTTGTATTCGCGGACGGCTTAGAACCTACAGATTGCAGAGTTTCAGGCCTCAACATCCAAATGGCGAATTGCCTTTAAGCCATCAATCCCAGACGCCTGGCCCTGCAAGCACCCCACGACCCAAACACCCGAGACCCTAAGCTTCAGGTAGTAGGGCGTAGGGCTCTGGGTTTAGAGGTTCGGGCTCAGGGATCAGAGCTTCGGGTGTAGGGAGGCTTTAGTCTGTTGATTCGTTTTTACAATGCTATGTTGATAGCGAGTAACTACAGCATAGCAGCTTCGGGTACCCGAGGCGGCCCAAGGCGCCTCAAGCATCTCCTTCCGCTTCTTTTTGCAAGCTTCCTTTCAAGATCGCTGGAGGCTTTGTACTTTTGGATCCACAGCTTGGGGTCTGAAGCGAAATGACCGGACTGAAACAAAGGCCGGAACGAGACCGAGCAGTTCCAAGGTCTAAGGGCTTAGGAACTTCTCAAGTGAGAGAGTCTGATCAAAACTATCTTGTGGAAGCAGTGCAGAGGCAACAGCACCCTGCTGAGGACCATGCCTAAGGACAGCAAGAACTGTAAACACCCCCCATCAACAAATTCACAACGACTTCACCACACACTGGTTCCAATCAAACAACCCCAAACCGTCCTGGATGGCGTCGCGGTGGATGCCCTTCAACTCCAAGCTAGCTCGAAGCTCCATGACCTGCATCAGGTTTGAGAGTTGAGGGTGTCGTTCTTACAGTCTACGGTCTGTATATGGCTTGATCACGTCACTGATAGAAGAAGTCTTGGTCAGGACATGCGAGGCTAAAGGTTTAGGATCTGGGACGTGGAGGTCCTTAGGTGCAGCTTCGAGAGTTCAAGGTTCGGCACTTCGGGCTTTGGCTCGGGGCATTGAGTCGGGTCAGGCTTCTGTGCGTTAAGGTTCGAGTGTGAAGGCTTTCGGTTTGGCTTGGGAACGAAGGGCCTCAGCATCTGCAAAATCTCTAGCTGTTGAAACCTCTGACTTACACCCCATGTCGCCATTGTTTTGCAACATCAATGGATCAAATTGTTCTACATGTGACTCGGGCAACGGACCAATGGAATGGGCATGACGCTGAGGATTTTAGCCTGTGTGTGTGTTGGTTGCACTCGCGAAAATGCACGTACGAGATATGCGTGCATGTCCAAACAGCAGGGTGGTGTGTGTGTGTGTGTGTATACATAAATATATATATATATATGTACACACATACAGGTATACTGTACAGCTATACATACATGTATACGTGCTTGCCTGCACACATATGCACCTGCCTAGCTACCTACCTACCTACCTACCTACCGACGATGTACGCACATACATAAGAGCGTGTGTGTGTGTGTGTGTGTGTGTGTGTGTGTGTGTGTGTGTGTGTGTGTGTGTGTGTGTGTGTGTGTGTGTGTGTGTGTGTGTGTGTGTGTGTGTGTGTGTGTGTGTGTGTGTGTGTGTGTGTGTGTGTGTGTGTGTGTGTGTGTGTGTGTGTGTGTGTGTGTGTGTGTGTGTGTGTGTGTGTGTGTGTGTGTGTGTGTGTGTGTGTGTGTGTGTGTGTGTGGTGTGTGTGTGTGTGTGTGTGTGTGTGTGTGTGTGTGTGTGTGTGTGTGTGTGTGTGTGTGTGTGTGTGTGTGTGTGTGTGTGTGTGTGTGTGTGTGTGTGTGTGTGTGTGTGTGTGTGTGTGTGTGTGTGTGTGTGTTGTGTGTGTGTGTGTGTGTGTGTGTGTGTGTGTGTGTGTGTGTGTGTGTGTGGTGTGTGTGTGTGTGTGTGTGTGTGTGTGTGTGTGTGTGTGTGTGTGTGTGTGTGTGTGTGTGTTGTGTGTGTGTGTGTGTTGTGTGTGTTGTGTGTGTTGTGGTGTGGTGTTGTTGTGTTTGTTGTGTGTGGTTGTGTGTGTGTGTGGGTGTGTGTGTGTGTGGTGTGTGTGTGGTGTGTGTGTGGGTGTGTGTGTGTGTGTGTGTGTGTGTGTGTGTGTGTGTGTGTGTGTGTGGTGTGTGTGTGTGTGTGTGTGTGTGTGTGTGTGTGTGTGTGTGTGTGTGTGTGTGTGTGTGTGTGTGTGTGTGTGTGTGTGTGTGTGTGTGTGTGTGTGTGTGTGTGTGTGTGTGTGTGTGTGTGTGTGTGTGTGTGTGTGTGTGTGTGTGTGTGTGTGTGTGTGTGTGGTGTGTGTGTGTGTGTGTGTGTGTGTGTGTGTGTGTGTGTGTGTGTGTGTGTGTGTGTGTGTGTGTGTGTGTGTGTGTGTGTGTGTGTGTGTGTGTGTGTGTGTGTGTGTGTGTGTGTGTGTGTGTGTGCGTGATAGATAGACAGACAGATAGATAGATTCGTAGACAAATCTATCGATCGAGCGGCTCGCATTATCTCGTGCTTGGCGGGGAGATACACCAGCCTCCAGCTCGATGTCGGCGAGGAGCGCCTGATTCGCCTCGCTGGCGGGCTGCTCCTGGCATCCACCCGACTTTGGGATTTGGGGTTTCGGGAACCACATGCCTCTTGAAGGGAAACAAGCATTCGGCCCTGTATGGTTTTGTGTTGAAGCCACTGGGCTTTAGAGTTCAGTGCAAGCTCATGGTGAAACCTGCGAACCCCCACTAGACTTAAGCGCTTGAATCGTTAAACCCAGGCCTACAACTCCACAACTTCCAGGCCCTGCAACTCCAAACCCACAAAGTGCGAATTGAAGCTACTGAAAGCAACCCCACGACTTCCGAAGGTGCTCTGCAGCAGAGCAGGGGGTCTTTAGAATAGTGTCGCGGGTGCGCAAACTGAATGACGCCCTGCAGGTTGTTGGAATGGAAGGTTTGTCACTGAAGTCGTTCAGGGCTTGCGGCCGTTGAGGGTCCGGTTTATTCACTAGGCTCCGGGTTTGCCCCAACCAGGCTCAGATAGGCTCAGCTTTTCTGCACGAGCACGGGTGTCACGAAGTCGCGTGCACCACGAACGAACTTTCAGTTTTCTGCAGGCTGACAGGTTGGAGTTTCGATGGAGTTCGCCTGAAGGGTCCTCTCTACGAATTCCCAAAGAGGCTTATAAGATGAAGATAGTGAAAAGCAACCCTGGAAACGCGTCAAAAACCCTCTTTATTGCGAAGGTGGGACTTTAATCCTACTTCCGCAGGATTAACAGACTGTCGTTCTTGAGTACACACTGCCTGTTGAAAAAAGTCACCAACACCGTAGCGAAACATGATCAGACAAATTATACCCCAAACTACTTCTTGGATGCCCTAAACTTCCATAAACCCTCGGGTAACAAACAGGATCCCGCATTCTACTCCACAAAGTTGCGCAGCCATCAACAGCTTGGGCCTAGTTTAGTGTCATCAAACACTATGTCAAACTTGTTCCCTAAAGCCCTAATCCTGAATCCCTAAACTTAAAGCCTGACTGAGAATAACTGGGCATCTGCAGCAGGGACTTGCTGCAACAGAGCGGGGGAGCTCCAGCACTGCTCCGGCACATGATCGTAATATAGGGGCCTCAAGAATTAGAAAAGGGTTCCTTTAAAAGGGTTCCTTACAAGGGGATCTATAAGGGATACTATAAGGGTTTTTGGGGCCCATTATACTATAATGATAATGAGGAACCCCCAAAATAGTTTAGGTAATTACTAAGGCCCCTACATGAGGCGGTCTCGCCGACCCCGGGTCTGGGTGTTTAGGAGCTGGGGTCACTAAGGCTTAGTTTCTCGTGTCTTTGACTCCTTGACACTCTTTGAGACTGATTGCAACCGCAACCGAGGGAGGCAACATCAACGGTCACCGCCAGAAGTATGGAAACAAACATGGCGAGTATGCGGACTCAGTAACACATGGCAGTAGCAACACCAAACACAACCGATGTTCAGCCTCCACGTCCCTCGAATCCCAAACTAAAACCCTGAACCGTGTTCTATAAACCCTCGAATCAATGACCCCCGAACTTCCTGGACGTTTCATGTGCCGGAGCTTGGAGAGCAGATAGACTCTCTGGACTTTCTTCGCTTGGCGCCGGAGCTTTTGGGGTTAGCATCGGGGAGTTACATACCCCATAGTGCTGATTTAGCTAGGGTTCCACAATTTCGGAGTTGAGGGTCGAACAGAGCTTACAAGACGTTCACCTACTCTCCGGCGTCATCTGTCTTCTGCTGATCCGAGCACTGCAATTTTACCTCTGAAAATTGGGCACCCGAATCTCTTAGCTTCAGCGCTGGCACCGAGGAATACGACGTGACGGAGGAATGCCGAGGGGGAGGGCGACATGGGTTTCTACCAAGGGACTGCACCAGCGTCAATATTCGGCTTTGGGGCTCAGGATTCACGGCTGTCGGTCGATGTCGGTCTGCAGGTATGAGTTGCGGCGCATCGAAAGCCAGTGTCGACAGCTCTGCTCTCCCGCGCCTAACATTCACACTTCGCAATTAAAAACTAGCCGGTGCAGTTTCTGCAGCACGGGCCCCCCATATCTTGTAACCTTACTGGAAAGCTGAATAAAGATGACTGGTGCGCTGATCATAGTCATGGTCATGAAGGTGGAGATAGCAGAACCCCTTGGAGGACAACAAAGTTGAGCAATCCCGGCCCTACACTCGAAAAAACTTAATCCGAAGCCCACCGAACCTGCCAAACTTCGTCAACCTCCAAGCCGAAACCCGATGTAAAATACATAAATCCTAGCAGTATCCTACAGCCCCACAGGACCTGCAAACCCTGGACCCAACGAGATCGAGGACGTATCGCTCACGCGTTCAAATCGGTGAGACGCTGTGCATCACGGAGGAATGCCAATGGCCTCAGGGCCCAAACACGAAACCGCACTGAGAAAACTGAATCCTCAACGGCAAGCCTGCAATCCACAAAAAAAAACATACCGTGCTTGCAGTTGAGGGGTTTGGGTTTAGCCTGTTAGGGTTTCCGGCTTAGGAGGTTCATTTGGGCTTGGGGATTAAGAGAAGTCGTGGATGCCATTTCAAGCCGCAGCCATCTCAAGATCTAATGCAGATCCTCGTAAAACCAATGGGAAACTAGCAATTGTGGCTCTGCACATTATGTTTCCAAAGGAACCTGAAAAGCTCTAGCAATCTATCTCTAAACTTACAACCCCTAGTTAAGGTGAAGGGGTTGGTCAGGGCGAGCCCATGCACATTCAAACTCGGGCCTGAGACATCCGAAACCCTCTACAATCAAAGACAATCAGGAAAAACAACCCTAAAATACAGGAGCTCTAGCAGACTGCCAGGTGCTTGAGGGCTGAGTGCTGGGCAGGTGGCTCCATGAACGCAGCCATCATCACCTGGAAGGTTAGGGCTTCACCCTGAACCCCAAACCAATCATTAATAATCCCTAAATCCTCAAGCCTGACGAAACCCTAATCCCTAAACCCTGCCGAAGCCCTCAACTCCGATCAAGCCCCAGACTTCAATTAAACCCCAGGTAAATCCTATACCGAGGGCTTCGAAATGACTAGAAAGTCCAGGATTCCGGCGTAAAGCGGACCTGCCCGCGGCCCCGAACCACCATCCGAGTCTACATGCGATAGGCTCAAGGTTTAGATCTTAGGGCCTACTCGTACATCGAAGCCCACCATTTTCAGCAGTGAGGGTTCTGAGTTCAAAGGAGGGAGCATCGAACCGAACCCCTAGCTGGGTAAGCTCGCTGTTGCCTCTCAACCGACATGTGCCTCAAATGAGGCTTTGCACGATGAGGATTCGAAATCTATTCTACTTCAACAACGTGAGCTTATGCAAGAACACTACTTCCAGCTTTTTCAAGTCTACTACGACTACTGACTACAACTACAGAGGGATTGCGAGGCAATAGGTTTACTACGTTAAGACGACTATACTTGACTATACTCGTCCTTAACATGAGTCTCCGAGATCCTCGCAAGGTCATAGGCTGGGCCGGAAAGACAAAGGCAAAGCTCCGAGTCCTCGAGACAACCTCCCGTCTAAGCCCTTATGCGGGAGAGGGAGTAGTATGACCAATTGTGTTCCGACCCCGCTACTACGCCCTATGAAGGGGATCATCTCTGGAGCATTTAACGACACGTGCCTGGTACCAGGCAGTCAGCCCGATGATCGTCATCATCGCCGTGCAGGCACCCAGGCCGTAAACCTCGGAAAAGGGTTCCGAGTTCGGGGCTTCGTGGCTTTGGAGATGCGGGGCTCACTACTACTAAGCCCGACACTCCCAAGCACGAACATCAAACCCGCGGTCCCACACGAAACAGTAAATCTGAGCGTGAGGGCTCTCTCAGGGTTCCTTTATGGGTCGCTTCAAAGCATCTATATGGTTTCCTGTAAGGGAGGGCGTGAATGTGCCGGCCTCTGGGCATACTGCATTTGGGGCCTACATGTGTAACGTTTAGCACGTGAGGGTAATTGGGTTGAGGCTTTCGAGCCTCAGGAGGGCTTAAGATTTAGAAATAGATCACGTTGATGTTCTTCGCAAACCCCTCGGGTTGTCCTAACAGCCTTAAGCATATTCATAGGGCTTTGGGGCATTCCGACTCCTATACCACCCTAAACCCGATCATCTGAGTACCTTGCCCATCGAGGCATTGGCTTCGTCGACTTCGACGGCTCCTCCGGTGGAGGAGCTGAGGCTCAGGGTTTAGGGTGCTCGGGTCTCAGGGTCCCAGGGCTTCGGGGGAGCTAGGTAGTGGTCCATGGGCTGCGGGCTACAAGGCTTAAGCATTAAAGGTCTGCGAGTTTTAAGAGGTAGCAACTCAAGGGCTGTGGCTTACGAGTTTGCGGGACTTTACATGCAATGTATGGACTCTTCTTGTCGAGCAGCCCGACCGGCATTGTAACGGCCTAGCTTTCAAGGTTCATCCACAGTTCCAGCTCAGCGCAAGGCTCTGGTTCTCGAGCTTAGGAAAAATGCTCACAACGTCTGGTGGACCCCAGCCTGTGTGATGACGTACGCGGCACGTAAGGTTCTGTAAACCTCGAACCTGTTGGCAAGCATTTCCAACGTTAAGCCCATAGCCCAAGTCTACAAGCGTCGATGCAAGCTCGGCCTCGCAACAACACCCAAACCCCAAACTAGGGTATAGGGCTGAAGGCTTCGGGCTTATCTGGATAACCACGGCCTGGACCGAAGTGCATCTCGGTGCTGGAACTGCTCCCATTTCGAATTTGAATTTGGGAACTAGGCCGGCAGGCCCGTGGGTTAATTGCAGGTTTGGGAGTTCGGGGTTGTACGGCTTAGTTAGTAGGATTTGGAGCTTCAGCTTCACGGCAGGCCTGCCTGCACCCTCAATGTCAACCCTCCTGGGCCACGCCATCAATGGGGAAGTGCTCTTGGAAGGCAATCTGTCCGAGAACCTTCCATGGTTCGGGGTGCTTCTGGGGCCGAAGCCACAATCCCTAAACCTTGCTTGACAGAAACGCCGTCTTTGCAGTGCAGTAGCAGCAGTAGCAGCAGTAGCAGCAGTAGCAGCAGTAGCAGCAGCAGCAGCAGCGGCCGCAGTAGCAGCCACAGTAGCGATGGCAGCAGTGGCAGTGGCAGTAGCACTAACGGACTGCCAGTGGCAGGTGCGAATCGCAATCGCAGTGGCGGTGGCAGTGGCAGGGCAGTGGCAGTGGCAGTGGCAGTGGCAGTGGCAGTGGCAGTGGCAGTGGCAGTGGAAGCAGCAGCAGCAGCAGCAGCAGTAGCAGAAGCGGAAGCAGTAGCAGAAGCAGAAGCAGCATCAGCAGAAGTAGCACCAGCAGCAGCAGCAGCAGCAGCAGCAGCACGAGCAGGACCAGGAGCAGGAGCAGGAGCAATAGTGGTGGCAATAGCAGTAGTAGTGGTACTACTAGTAGTAGTAGTAGTAGTAGTAGTAGTAGTAGTAGTAGTAGTAGTCGTAGTCGTCGTAGTAGTAGTAGTAGTAGTAGTAGTAGTAGTAGTAGTAGTAGTAGTAGTAGTAGTAGTAGCAGCAGCAGCACGAGCAGGACCAGGAGCAGGAGCAATAGTGGTGGCAGTAGCAGTAGTAGTGGTACTAGTAGTAGTAGTAGTAGTAGTAGTAGTAGTAGTAGTCGTAGTAGTAGTAGTAGTAGTAGTAGTAGTAGTAGCAGCAGCAGCAGCAGCAGTAGTAGTAGTAGTAGTAGTAGTGGCAGTGGCAGTGGCAGTGGCAGTCGCAGTGGCAGTGGCAGTGGCAGTCGCAGTCGCAGTGGCAGTGGCAGTGGCAGTGGCAGTGGTAGTGGTAGTAGTAGTAGTAGTAGTAGTAGTAGTAGTAGTAGTAGTAGTAGCAGTAGCAGTAGCAGTAGCAGTAGCAGTAGCAGTAGCAGTAGCAGTAGCAGTAGCAGTAGCAGTAGCAGTAGCAGTAGCAGTAGCAGTAGTAGCAGTAGCAGTAGCAGTAGCAGTAGCAGTAGCAGTAGCAGTAGCAGTAGCAGTAGCAGTAGCAGTAGCAGTAGCAGTAGCAGTAGCAGTAGCAGTAGCAGTAGCAGTAGCAGTAGTAGTAGTAGTAGTAGTAGTAGTAGTAGTTGTTGTTGTTGTTGTTGCAGTTGCAGTTGCAACAGCACCAGCAGCAGCAGTAGAGGCAGTAGTAGCAGTAGTGGTAGTCATCGTCGTTGCACGACCCCACGCGTAAAACAAAAAGAAGCTTGATGCAATATGGGCATCATACTCTTCAGATCATCCTCATGACCATCTTCAACACCATCGTCACCATCTCCAAAAGCAGCAACAACAAGAACAAGAAGCGAGACCCTAAAGCCGCAACGCGACACTTGAAGCAAACTAGGACGTGACGAGGACGATGACGAAGATTGGGACCAGGATGGGCAGGACAACGACGATTACGACTATGACGCTCACAATCACAATGGCGAGGACACCAACGACAACTTTAGCGAAGATGACAACGACGACGACGACGACAACGACGACGCTGATGACGATAGCGATGATTTTCGACGACAGGTGTATCAGCAGCAGGAGCAGCAGCAGCACCAGCAGCAGCACCAGAACCAACAGCATCAGCAGAACGCACACCAACCGATCAACCAACCAACCAACCAACCAACCAACCAATCGATCAATCGAACAACCAACCAACCACCAGCCAACACCAACAATCAACAACCAACAAACAACAACCAGCAGCAGTCACAACAACAACAGCAGCAACAGAAACAACACCAGCAGCAACAGCAAAGACCGACAGACAGACAGACAGACAGAGGAAAAACAAACCAACAAACAAACTACAGCAACATGAATGATGCAAACACCAAGACCAATCACCACCCGCCACCACCACCACCGCCGCCGCCGCCACCACCACAACCACCACCACCACCACCACCACCACCGCCAGCAGTATCACTATGATCATTAGCGTCATCAGCGTTCGCTTCACTGACAGCATCAATCGTAATCTAGTTCCCAACCTCGCTGGCGCTCACGGACAGGGACGTTTGGCAGACCAGGAATCGTAGCATGCAGCCCGCCTCTGCACAAAAGTCATCAGGCTAAGTGAACACCCAAAGTCCGAGGTGTCCTTGGAGCTGGTATGACATTTTAGCTTTAGAATGTCAGGGCTTCGGCTGCAGAATGCCTAAGTATATTGCCTTCAGCGCTCACAGGTGTAGGAACGACAAAGGAACCAGTGGTTTTGCGGTTTGGCTTTGCGGTTTAGGGTTTGGGGGCTTCAGATTTAGGCAGGATCCTAGAATCGAGGACGTAAGACTTTCGGGACAAACCTTCCCCATGTGGTAAGGGGGGCATCTCGCAAAGTATATATACGCCCACGGCTGCCAAATCCAAGACTACGTCTATGCAGAGATCATGAAGAATCTAGGTAACGCTGTAAGGCTTAGTTGTGGTTCAAAGCCGAACACCCTCGGCATCATGTGCCCCCCTTAAACCCAGACCCCTACAGCTCTAAGCCCTAAGCCCCGGACCCCGGAGCCGAGCCTACGATCCTAACCCCTTAATTATAGCCCTAAGCCGTAGATGAACCCTAAACATTCAATCCCTGGCCCTAAAGCCAGTCTTAGCTCCACATCAAGTAAACCCCGGCTCGCCTCCCGGATGGAGCGGATGCTGAGTTCCGTTGCTGGGACGGGCCGCTTCAGGTACGACTTCCTTGAGGCTGTGTAGGCTTTAGGGCTGAGGATTGGGCAGGTTTCTATAAGGGTTCTATACAGGCTTTTTGTTGGGTTCGGGGTGTGAGCAGGCGTGTCAGGGACCGCGAGGACTGCGGGTTGCTAGCAGCACATATACAGGACATCAGAATGGCTGGGATGTACTATATTACTATACTGTACTTGTACAGGAACTGGAGGCCACAATTTTGCCAGCCATTCAAGCCTCCACATTGCTGCCTTGGGTTTTCGGGTTGGGGTGTTGGCACTGAGGGTTACCAGGAATCACGCCACAGAAAAACCCAAGGTACAATCGGTCATAGGTTTCGTAGGAGCAGCTCAGAAGCTCCCTTTCGCAACTCCGGATCGACTGACACGAACTTTGCGAACTGGAAGTGCGTGAACCGCTCCGCAGGCGATCGTGGCGAGAGGCCGTACAGGCTTCAGCATGGCTTTGCCGCTCGTTGCCCGCCAAACACAGCAGTGAGCACGCTCGTCTCTCGAACGGATGTCCCGTCCTTCTCCGTCACGGCTCACAAAAACAATTGGTGTCAGGTCACCTGAACTACGCTTGGGAGCACAAGGGCTTTCACAGGCTGAAACCTGTCCCGGACACCAGTACATGACAATGCCAATGCCGAAATGCACTAAGCCAAATAGGCTCAACCGCTAAACTTTGGAGCCTCAGTGGCTCCAACAACAGCTCGAGCCCCAAAGGTACCTTAGGCAGTCATGGCTTTGATTTACAGTGTAAGGTCAAACCCGTAAGTTTGATAAGTCTAGGCGCGGCCTGTCACTGCTCAGCCCTGCACAGGTAGCTCAACGGAGAACCGTAGAATCGAAACCTACAAACAACGTCCCCACCAAACCCCACGCCCTAACTCCCCAACACATCCTCTCAAGGCTTGACTTACCCCGACAGAAGAAGCACCGACACAACAAAACCCTCAAACCACGAAGCTCCATCAACCCTAAACCCTGAACCGTTAACTATCAACCCTCACTTTTAAAGCAAATCGGAGCCCTCTCTGAGAACCCGATCCACTGGTCGTCGTTCTCACCTCCCTCCGAGACCTGCGCTGAGCTTTCGGGGGGCATCAGGATTCAACTGGAGCTTGGACCTACTGTAAGTGTCTCGACAAGTCGCTTCACCCCACAATCTGCTCGACAACTCGCAACCCTGCAGCCCTGAAGCCCTCAATCCCCAAACCGATCTCGCTTAAAAGGATCCGGGGAAGGAGTTTCAGGACTCGCACGGGTTCGAGTCAGGATTTCGGGTTTGGAGATGCCGGGTTAGGAGTTTAAACTTCTAACATCCGGGATCTTGGGTTCAGGGCTGCAGGCGTCTGGCCCGAGCGCAGCTAGAGGGTAGCGTCTCCTGTAGGAGTGGCTACGCTCTCTGCGTATAGCCGACCCCAGCTATTGTGTAATAGCGTCGGTGGTGCGAGACCTCAGATCGCGCTTCCGCTCTCAAGAGGGGGCGTTCCCTCTTTCTGGATATCGCTGCCTCGGCCGATATTCGGAGCGCATTGCGGCTTTAAGCGCATGCGCACTGCCAAGGTATACTGGCCCTTGGCTCCTCTTTTTCTCCTGGGATTTGGTTTGGTGTTCTGGGGAAGTCAGAGTGAGAGTCATCACTCTGCGACGGGCGCGAAGCCCACCCTGGCATCGGCGTCAGCGAAGGGCGCGGGCCAAAGCGAGAAAGCTCCTACGCCAAGGGAGGTTTACTTGGCCAGCTTTCAGGCTGTTAGACAGGCATCACAGTGGGATGCCGCCGAAGATGAACCCAAGCAGCCAAGCAGCGAAGCCACAGGGTGGAAAACAGAAAGGCAAAGGCGAGCAGACGAGTCAGCAGAGTCGCATCGAGTTTGGACTTCCCCAGACGGTCGTGCAGGCTGTCCAGTCCATCTCCACGCGTGCTACTCAAGATCTTTGGTCGACTGCCTCGATGCCTTTTCTGGAAGGTACAGCAGAACAGAACCTGCAAAAGCGTACCAATATGACAAACAAACTCGCCAAGAGATTGGCGGGGAACTCCAGGGCCAAATCGGACATGGCGCTGGCCCTACAGACGTGGTTCGTGCAAATCGGACAGCATGCGGCAGGCCTTCTGGCACAAGTTCGAGCCATAGGGCAACGACTGGATGCGGATACAGAGGTGGCGGCAAACGAGATGAGGGAGATTCTCGCAGAGCAACCCTCAGAATCCACTTCGCAGCAGGTGGAACGTGCCATCGCCGCCCTCGGCCCAATATGGACTCCCCAGCAAGAAGCAGAGGTTTTGCAGATGTCGGCCAGGCTGCGGGCTTTTGGCACATCCAGGAACCTTTGTGAGGGACGATGGCCAAGCTGTCCCGACTGCTGTTGGCTTGTCGTCAGGGCACCTGTTTGGTGCTGGTCTCATGGATCAGGGCTCCGAGGCCAGTTTCGGGGGCCCACATGGCGGTCAAGAGGGATTTGCCACTCGTGGAAACATTGGCGTCCCTGCCGGATTTGCCGGCCTGTTGACGCCCGAGCCTACTGGGCCTACCCTCATAGCAGGAGATGGCGGATGTATGGGACCAAGACCTCCGGTCACTGTTTCTGCAGATGCAGGGTTAAGCTCTGGCGGACGATGGCGCAAAAGAAGCGGTGTCATTCACGAGCGGCCTTCCAAAAGTCCCCGGAGAGATGTCATCACATCTCCATGGCACAAAGAAGCTACGGGCCTAACTCCGGAGACCGTCCCTCGCCCCGCACAGACTTTAATTGCCGAGGGGGAGGTCGAGCTGAGCAGCCCCGCAACCAGGCCCGCAGCAATGTCGTGGACCCAGGCATGGCTCTATATGCTACGGTTTGCAGTCGACAATGGAGACGCTGTCATTGGGGAAGTTGCTACCAGCGACACACAGGACCTTGCGATGCCTCTTCAAAAGGATGGCCTCGAACCGGCAGTGGTCGTGGCGGCGGCCGAAAAAGTGTGGCAGGATCTTGTGCAGTTGCTACGCGAGCCCAGCACTACTTCAGACATGACGGCCAGTCTGTACCACAGCCTTGCACAAATCCTACACCATATTCGTTCGTCCCCTGGGGCCCTAGGACAGGTGCGACAGGGACTCGTTGTTGCTGCCCAGCTATCAGCCGGCAACCTCCTAGATCCCTTCAGTTTTGCGCCAGCAACGGCTCAGGAATGGCTTTTCCCCAACATGTTGATCGAACGCGGGGAACCGTTAAAAGGGTTCATTGCAGCAGCAATGGCAGAGGAGCATCATCTCCGTGCTCTGTTGATGCTCCCGTGCCTCTTTACTTCCCAGGAGCTGATACCGTGCGCACCGGAAGGTTCACTAGGTGGGGGCTGTTAAGTTGGTTCCTAGGGTTGTTGGGCTACTGCTTTGTGGTTCGGCTCCTTGAGCTGAAGCTTCTTCGGGGCAAGGGCGGCACAGTTTTCGTGCCACCTAGAGTTCTTAACACCTACCCAGGCCCTGCCGAACGCCGCATCGCCAAGAGCGGGGGTACTCCCTGCTGTGAGCTGCGGGCTCACTCCCGGCCTCCATTGATCAGCCCGAAGATGCAGCGGCAATGGAAGGTTCTAGGACTTATGTGGCTGCTCTGCTCTCCGGTTCAGGCCGCTCAGGTGTGGCCGGTTAGACGCTTCGGCGAGCACACAGTCTATGCAACCGGATCAGTCCCAGACACCCGTGCGGTGAGTGATCTTGCCCCGGCAAGCGTGGCTGGCACTCCCTGCATGGTGCCGGCCCTTCAGCAGGCACCAACTGCTTTACGCGATATAGCTGTATTTGCACCTCAGGCCGACACCTGCCCGGTAGTTTTGCAGGTCGATGAGAGAGTGCACGGGGCGCTTTTGTTCCGTTGGATCGGGGTTGCTCTGGGCTTCAGAACCGATTACTGGCTCTTTCGCAGGCAAATCGAGCTTTTGCCATCATTGCCCCCTGAGCAGTATGTCGTGTCGGCATGGAGCCAGGCATGGCACCAGATTTCAATTCCGGTTGATCTTAGGCCTATAGGTGGTAAGATTGCCCTTGCGGATGTGCATCGCAACCAACCGTGTGGCCGTGTTGTTCAGGTGACGGCCCAGGCGCAGGGATGCATGCTGCCCCAGCACCTACTATGCAGAGTAGGGGGTCACTGGTTCGAGCCAGCGGCACACACGATGCTTCTTCCTGGCGGCGATGCCTTACAAGCTTGGCCTGCCGATAATATACCGAGAGCGCCCTTCCCCCAGCGTCCAGGCTCATTGTCCCCCAGGTTGTCCCTGGAGGATGTCTTTTCCGCTAGCCTGTCGCTTCCGTCAACTGACGAGTCTGCTTTCCACCATGCCAGTGGGCACAATGCTGTCATTATTACGCCTTTCCAGCTCCAATATGTGCACACCCCTCATTTTGCTGCTGCCGAGGACATTCGCATCAGTGCACTTCAAGGGGTTCTTGGGTCCGTTAGCGATGGGGTTCCCTTTCTTCGCATTCTACCTCCGCTTGCGCACTTGCCTGCTGTGCAGTTTGTCACTTTGCCCTCCCGAGCCGCGAGGCAGCCTACGGTTCTTGACCTTAGGCCGGTCGGAGGTGGCATCCATGTTGTTGCTTGTGACAGCGGCGATTCCCCGGAGGTCAGGTTGCGGACTGGCGTGGATGCCTTTGGTGCGCCCCTTGTGGGAGAGGTTATTCTCCGCGAACAGGACCAAGGCCGGCTCCTTTTCCTGCATCAAGAACGCCAAGTCGCCCCTGATATGCCCTTACACGTCGAGGGAGCAGTTGCGCTTGTAGTGTTGCCGCTCAGCCCCGTCTCTGCCGAATCAGAAGGTTCCGTACGCTCTGCAGGCCGCTTTGCTCAGGTCCCACATGTTTTGGTTTTTGGGGGTGCCTTTCACTTATGGACGGGGACGCAGGGCTGCTTGTCTCTTGCCTTTCTTGGGTGCCTTGCGCACGCTGCTTTTCTGGTGCCTGAAGCCGCACCTGCGCCTCCCCCTTTGGATGTCTTCACACTTGACGCTGAAGACAGTCCCCGCGTGCCAACAAAAGGGCTTGCCACTGTTGATGAGCATCAGCGATTCGCTACTAGAGTCCTGCATTTAGGGGATTGGGACACTGCCGATTGGCGACCTTTTGTGCCTCCGGCTCACACTCATTTCGAGATCCAGGTGTTCTCACCAGACGCTCGCTATGGCTTTGTCCTCCCTGGAGAAGGCTCAGCTCGGGATCTCAGGCACAACCTCTTGCATGTGGGAGGTCTTCGTGGACGACAGCTGCCAGTCCTTGTCCAGCCGGCTCTTCGCTGTCGTTGTGTCCAGTTTGTCGCTCCTGCTAGAGACCCAGCGCTGGTCACGCTTCTGATTGATATCGGTACTCAGCTTGTATGTCTAGATGCCGCCAGAGGTAATGCAGGCCCTGGCATTCTTCAGGCACTAGAGCTTCTGTTTCCACAAGCTAATTTCCGGCTTGAGGCCTCCAGCCCTACTCCGCTTCGGCATGGTGATGTTGTGGTTGCCCGCAATGACTGTGCAAGGGTATCTCCTGAGCTTGGGGCTTGGTCGATTGCCGGGAGGTCTTCCTTGGGAGCCCTGTGGCTTACGCCACATGCCGAGGTATATCTTTCGACCCCTACTCATGCTCTTCTGCTGTTACGTGTGCCCTTAGGGTTCACTAAATCCCAGCTTGTCGCTGCATCGCTCGATTGGTTTGGAAGCCCCGCACTTGGTCAAGACTTCATACGGCTTCCTTTGGACAGGCCTACGGTTGATCTCTTCTGCTGGCTGCAACCTGGGCGAAGAACTCTTGCGCTGGTCCTCACTGACATTTCTGATTGCGAAGGTCGACCGATGGTTCACACGGTCGCTGTTGACAGCGCCGGACCACTAGTGTTGCATGCTGCAGCTGCGAGTGGAGCCGCCAACGCTGATTTTTGGGCTGACGTGCTCAAGCGACAACCAGTTGTTCTTCGCTATTTTGCCTTATCCCCTGAGCAGACAGCCAATGCCAGGCACTTCGTTTTCTATCATTTGGGGATCGATTTCTGTAGGGCGCAGGGACATGGATGGCAACCCACTCAGAACGCTTTGCCCAACGTGGTCGACCTTGTACAACTCCAGCCAGAGTTCTTCCAGCAGCCTGGTGATCCACTGGCCGACCGTCAGCCACCGCCCCATATGAAGTTGTGGCCCGCGAGCGCCAGACCGCGGCCTGAGGGCTCTCGTCTTCAACGGCGTGTGGCCCGTGGGTGCACCCCAGCGCTTGTACCCTTCCCTGCAGGAGGCCTACGCACATTAATGTGCCCTCAACAGGGTGTCACTTGTCAGGTTCCCTGTCCTGACAATTTTCAGGTTTGGGCTGCGCGTGTCGGTGAATGGGTCAAGGCTGCATGCACCGACACCGTTGAATGGCAGCATGTGATGACACTCGGAGGTTTAACGTCGTGGGATTTGCCAGGTGTCGCGGTGCATGGTGCCGATCAGATCTGGTCATGGCCAGCTGAGTTGGCTGACTTCTCCGGGCAATGCGGCCACTTGCTCCAGGACGGGCGAGATCCCTTTGTTTGTGATGTACATCAAGGTGTTCTTTTCCAACTTGGCACTGCTTACAATGCTTCTGGGAGTCGTGTGGCAGCGGGTGTGGCGGCTCTGGCTGCCCGAACCTTCCGAGCCCCTTGGATCCTCCCTTTCAGTTTGCTGTTTGCGTTTCCGATGACCGTGTCTGCTATGCCCACCATGCCTCACACCTCGGATGAAGATGAGTGGGAAGAGCCCGCGGTCGTTCCGCAGTACAATGCCACCCCTACCTGCAATTTGGGCTGGAGCCACGAGTTGTCCTGTCAAACCACGCTCTGTGGTGTTCCCATCGAGGCCCTGCATCACCACTGTCAAGTTGCCTCTCCTTTCGAAGTTGTGCGAGTTGCGGTTTGGACCCCCTTTATGGGCCCAAGTTTCTTCGACTTCCCGCGAGACGGCCCGTTGCAAGCTTTTCGATTTTTGCTTCGTGAGGCCGGCTACCATGAAGAAGCCTGCTCGTTGCATATTGCATTTGATACCTTGCCTACGAGTTTAGAACTTGTAGCTTGCCCACAGGGACCACAACGTTGGTGGATTGTGCGTGACGGCATGGCTAGGGAGCTTCTTCGGCCAGTGCGGCCCTGGCTTGAAGATGATGGCCGTCGTATCTTGACTGTCAATTCTCATGGGCAAGGGCAAGGCCTGTCCTACTCTGAAGAAGCCGGGCGTATGCATTTACTCCCGAATGGGGTGCGGGCTGCTATAACCTACCCCTTCTCGAGAGTCACAGGGAGGCTTTTTGAAGGATGCCTCGAGCTGCTGGAACATAGCATTGGGGTCCCTTCTGTTGTTGCTGCGGCGGCAATTTCCGGTCGAAGTAGCTGGAGTGTCCTGCTGGGCCTCGTGGTTACCGTTCAGGCTATGCAGAATGATCTGGGCGTTAGATCTGCTACTGTGACCACGCCAGTGCACTCAGATTGGGCCCCACACAGGCCTCAGCTTGTCCCCTCTCTCACTCGCATCTGGACTGCTACCTTGGCTGCACCCACCGTTGTCAGTTATCACGAGTGCCCAGACCCGGTCGCAATGGCCAAGAGTACCGCTAACACTGCAAGGGGACTGGCCCCTGTGGGAGATTTCGTTTGGACGACACCACGAGTTGTACAAGGGGTTGCACACATACTGCAGGTGCCGCCGGGCTCTGCTCCTCCTCTGACCTATTGGCTCTTACACTTCCGAGGGCGAGCTATCGTTATCAGTTCGCCCCGTCAAAATTTTGACTGGCAACACATAGCTCAGGCGGCTTCTGAGGAGTTTGGACATGCATTCTTTGCGCAGGGTCATTTTGCTGTGTGGCATGGAGGGCGCACTATCTCCTTCAATACGCCGATTCCAGCTCCGGCGCACGGCACCATTGTGACTCTTGTTCGCACAGCGCCTGCTTCTTCTGTGGGACTCTCTGCGTGGGACACGCCGGCTGATCTGCCTACGACGTACCATTTTGAGTATGACATTTGTAGGGGACCAGGCGGTGAAGTCCCCTTACCGGGGGAACTTTGCGCACATATGGGGCCACATGGGTTGATCGGCGTAAGCCCCAATCGCCGCAATGCTGCTGATGCAACATCCAGACAGCATGAAGCAAGTCAAGCTATTACTCCTGCGCCTGCTCTGGTTCGCCAGATCAACGAAGTTAGTCATCAACTTATTTTGCTTACGACACGCCTCGAATCTGCCGGTGTGCTGCCTCAGCAGGAGGCTGCTGCCTCGATGGAAGCGCCAATTTTTCGAGGGGATGCCGCTCAGGCTAGCGACCACGACGAACCGCGCAGCGGTGGCAGAGGTATCCTTCCCATGTTTACTTGCCTCAGTGGCTTGTTTAGTGTTTCGGCCAGGTCACCCATCCTGGGCCTCTGCCTTGTCCTTCGGGTTGTAGCTATAACGGGGATACTGACAATGCGGGCTCATCGGAAGAAGAGCAAGAACCGAGCTCGCCCGACCTTTCTGGGGCGGCTCCTCCCACCCCTGGTGGAGAGCTACTAGGGCCAGATCATCAAGGGGGGGCGCTCCTTCGTCCTAGTGACGAGCCAGGCGCCAGCACCTCAGTCCCTAGTGAGGCTGCGCCGCCACCGACCTCTCCGTTTCAACCTGAAACGATACCACTTCTTCAGCACAGAGTCACTGCTTACCTCCAAGAGGTTGGTGAACCTGGGCATGCGCCAAGGCCGTTTCTCCCCGAAGGTTGCCCTCTGACTGTGCACAATCCTTTCACGCGTAATGCGCAATGTCCTGTGCTTTCGCCTCTGATAGGGACGGGGTTTGCATTTCGACTCTTCCTGCAGGACTATTCCGGTCGACGGGGTTGGCAACCGATTGTGCCTGTGCAGCCTCAGCCGGATGAGCGTGCTATACATCTTATCCCGGCGGCTGCCGATCCGTCTCTTGTTTCTGTTCTTTTGCGCACGCCGGACCGGCTGCACCCTATCTGCCTTCCCCGAGTGCTCCCGGTGGGTCCCAGCCGCTCCATCACATTGGCCGGCAGATTTGGCAGATTACGAGAGCCCTACCCGGTGCGTCGCTTAGCCGATAGGCCAGTCTACTTGCGTGACGGCGACTGCTTGCAACTCGACCAGGGTCCTTTTGGGCCGCCGCCACCCACGCCTGCTAGATCAGGCACTCACAGCGTCTCGCCGCTTCTGTGGTTGTGCCTGCTGCGGAGTGTCCGCTTGAGCGGGCTGTTATTAGTCGTTAGCAGTTTCGGGGCTCTTAGTATGGTTGCACCGCCTGAGCTCAGGGCAGGGCCCTCTCGAGAAGCTGCTCATGTCAGCCGCTTCCCATGGAGACGTTATCGTGAATCACAACAGTTGGGACCGCTGGCAGTACACGGGCGGGTTCGCTGCTCCCTTCTGTGCCCAATGACCGGACCACAAGGTGCATACGAGATGGCACCATCCGAATCATATACGGATCTCCTTACACATTACCAACAAGTAAAAGGGCACTGGATCCGCGACGTGCTGCCAGTGTGGCCTCAGCTGCACCGCGACATCATTTCCTTTGTCCCAGATGTGGATCCCTTCCGGAGGTGCGTTTGTGTGCTTTGGAGAGAAAGCTGTACCTGCAAAGCTCTCCTTCTGCCTGCCAAATGCGATGAGCGCACACTGTTGGGTATTTTGACGTACCAAACAGGTTGCGAGGTGAGGGCGATACGGTTCCCCCCTGCGTTACTCGCCGCCCGTAACCGCCTACCCCGGCGCGATCTTCAATTGCGTCCGGCAGATGTTCTTGCACCATGCAGGGTCTGTTGCACGGGATATGCCAGTCGTCTCCTTGCACATGTGGGATCATATCCAATGGAATTTTTCATTCGAGGTCGAAGCTGGTTGTGACGCTGCCTTCTGGCATCCGGCCATCAATCGTCCCCTAATTCGATACCTCCCTCAAGGTGTGCAATGGGATGCTGAAGCGTTGACGTTTTTAGGTGCCTTCGCTGAGGCCTGCCCTGGTGCATGGGTCCCAGTCATGTGGCAACCCACGTCGCGACCGCACTTCATTCAAGCAGCCGAGCGGCCCGGGCGTGCACACATACTTCATGAGAGTCGTGATGGCATCTCGCCGTTGTATTTCTCGGCATGTACATCTCGAGCAGAACTTGCCGAGGAATTGCATACATTGCCGGAGCATGTGATTGTTCCAGGTGCGTGCCTCGACGATCATCATGGCCCTCTCGTCCTGCGCGACGGTGATGTTGTTTTGGATTTGTTCACGTATGACAATCCTTCCTCCGGAGTTTGGGAAATACTTCCCAACTGGGCCATTGCTAAGAGGGTCGGACCATGGGGATGTCTT